GTGGAGCCTTGGTTTTAATTCTATAGGGTGTGTGTAGGTCTTCTATTTACCCTGTATTTATCCTTTTCCTCCCTGTGTTTGGATATGCCATACTTTCTTAGTTTTCACAAGGAATATTTTAATTTTTTAATATTTTTTTTCTTTTCTTGTGTTTTTCTTACTCTTTAAATTGCTTTGCCCAGTACTTCTGCCTTCTTTGATGCTCGTTACTTCACTTCCCCCCAAAAAAAAGGATCAATGTCATCCACGTCAAGGTCTGTGTCTTGGAAACCTCATTTCCTTTATTTTTAATTATTGATTCTGTGCTCATGGACTTGCCCAGCCCAGCCTCACACGTTCCCTGTGTTCTGCTCCAGCCATGCTGGCTGCTGTCCCCTGTCCCCTTCTTTTCTCCCAGGATGTCTCTTGGCTCAGCAGTCCTTGATCTCCACGATTGCTGCCCAGCTTCATCAATAATGAATGATTCTTCACTGGCCTATTTTATCAGCTGTTTTCTAGCATTCATTGTAGTCAGGCAGAAATCCGTCTTTTTCCTCTTGCTAGATGTCCTAACAAATTTTAAAATACATAAAATTAAAGTATTGCTTCAACTTCTGAGGATTTTGTGCCATTTCCCACCTTGGCCCATCAGACATGAAGGTGATTTTGGGGAATCAGGAGGCAGGAGGAGCTGCAGCCACTGTGAACTCCTTGGATTTAAGGCACTGTACAAAGTGAAATACAAATTGTGCCTGCACAATTTAGGATTCTCTCCCTCTGAAAATCTCCCATGCTAAATGTTCTAAGATTAAGATCAACCCTTTTGATATTGCTTTTGTAACCCTTTCAGAATGTTTAGCACCTTAATGGTGGGACTCCATGGTCTTCAAAGTGCTTTCCAGCCCAAATGGTTCTGTCATTCACAGAGATGTCACCACAGGGCTGTGGCTTTCACAAGCATTACAAGGCATTTATGGAATATTTTCCTGGTTTTGCACTTTTTTAAAAACTGATACATGCGTTAAACCCATCTTTTAATATGTATTTTTAATAGACTGCATTTATTTTCCCCCTTTGAACAAGTCCTTCTGCTTTTCCACAACTCTTCCACTTCTTAATTGCATTGCTAGTTGTGCCTTCCTCCATATCCTAAATAGCTGTGATTATCACCATGTAGGATAAGTTTACATAGACTTAAAAAATTAAACTAAAGTCAGAGAAGACCATATGGGTTTCTTACTGAATTTCACCCAAATTCAAGAGATGAATATTCATTGAATAATGTAAAGGGCCAAGTTCTGCTTTTTCTTTTTTTTTCCTGTTTTTTAATAATGTGTTTCACATCACTGGTTAGGGATGTGGGTGACAATAACTCCAGTTTAGGTGGTCTCCATGTACTCTCCTTCCAGTCCCAGCAGTAGGTAAGGCTCAAGGGCTCAGGCTGAATTCCCAAAATCCCAAAAGAGCAGAAGGGTGTTTTGGAGAATGTTGCCATTGATTGTAGAGAGGAGCATCATCATAGTGCTATGAGGTTGCTTTTTACAATTACTTTAGGCTGAAAAGTGGGATGTCAAGTCATCAATTAATCCTGACAGCATCCTTCTGTGGTGAAAAAATAATATTGTCACACCCATTTTATGGCAGAAAATCTAAGGCAGAGACAATAATGGAGGCTCAGTCGTGGTGGTGCTGCTCCCACCACACTCCCATTCCCGGTTCAAGGACACTTCTCAAAGTTTTATATCAGATTACAAAGTGAAGTCACTAAGTCAGGATGAACCCTGGGCCACATCCCCCAACCCAGATCACTAAACCTCAGCCATTTCCTAAGAGAGACTTCAGATGTCTCTCTTAAATTGTGGGTTAAAGTCAATAATAAAAACTCCTGGATAACAATGAGAGCTTTGAATATGGAGATTGAACGTCTCCAAGGCAGGGCACTCGAACCTGAGCACAGGTGTGGTGTCTGTGCCTCTTTTTGGCATTACAGTTGTAGTTTGGTCATTCTGTTTTTTTCATGTTCTTAGGATGAAATTTAGAGCATCTTCATACCATGCCTAGTTCTTATTTTTCCTTTACTAGATGCATATCAAATCAAGTGAAAATACAAAAGCATTTCAAATACCTCAACTAAACAACAAAGCCAGACCCTGGAGTCACATTATATTGATTTTTCTCCAAACATAATATCTTAAAAGAAAAGTTTGCATTTTAATATCAGGCTTTTATACTGTTTTGCAGTTCTTCTTCAGGAAATGGAGTATATATAATTAATACTGTTTAATAAAGCTCAGAAATGCAACAGATGCAGCCAAAAGTGCACATCATTTTGAGCAGATCTTTACAGAACAGACATTCCATATTGTGTTCATCTTTTTCCACGATCACTGCTATGGCAATCTGGTGTGTTTAGCAGTTGTTGCTGAGTAAGGCAGACTGGATTGTATATGATTTTTACCATGTCAGCCAAGAAACAGAGCTCTCTCCTTTTTGATGCAGCGAAGAGGTGGTCTTGTACTATTTATTTATTTCTACCAGGATCAGTGTATACCTTCAGTATTCTGCAAGAATAATAATACACTGCAGTCTGTAGGTGCACGGGCCAGGAGGTTTCTGGAGGTCTTTAATGAAAATAAAATGCTTGTGGTGTGGAGAAGTCATAGGAGCTGATAGAGTCACTTAAGATGAGCTCCCAAACAGAAAAGCTACAAGATTCACAAAATGTGTCATTAAAATCTGGGAGTGTCACCTAAAAGGGAAACATTTTATACTGGGGATGGAAAGAGGATCACCTACAGCAGAAAACCCGCAAAAGAGGCTCCAGTGCAGAGGAAACGTTTCCCCTTTCAGCATTCCTTCTGGGTGCCAAATTTTCCTTCTGTTCTTCCCCACCTATTAAACAAAGCTGCAACTTCCAATTCCTATCAGTTTTCCTAAATATGTGCAGCTTATGTGGCTTCGCCGAGCTGTAAGGCTCCGCGTTCTCCTGCCAGCTCCTTGACAATGTGGCTCCAACAGCATCCTCCACTTTTGGCTGCCTCTGGGACCCCTGGTCTCTTCTGGAAAGCGAGAGGGAAAGCATATCCTTTGCTGGAAGGACTTTTTGTGACTGCAAAGCTGATAGCGGGGCTGTGAAGAGCTTGGAAGGATCCCTGTCAGCGTCGTGGCTGTCGAGTCTGTCGGCTCCGCGCGCGGGGACGCGCCGGTCCGCCGGCACGAGCTGAGCCAGGCTGGGCTCGTGGCATCACTCACAGAGCACACACAAAAGCCTGTCCAGGGGAAACTGAGGCTCAGGGGAAACTCCGTCATGAATTGCACCAACTCCCAGCATTGTAGGAGTTCTCCTTGCAAGCATTCATAACGGGGATGTTCTCTTCCAGCCAAATCCGAATCCCCGCGATCCCATGTTGGCTCTTGGAGCTGGGCATTTGGAGGGAGCTCAATACTGGCAAAAGTTTCTGCACAGAAGTTACCTACCAGAAACAGGTGGCTCTTTTAAGCATGAGGATGCAGCAAACTAATAGTCAAAGATCTGGGATCTTTGCAACTGGGAGAAATCCACCCTCCAAACCAGTGCTTGCATCCACTTGGGTTGCTGGAATTGCCGTGAAAACTCCTGGTTCACAGATGTGAAACAAATTACAAAGCTTATGCAGTTACATTCCTCCTTATTATTGGGAACAAAACAAATTGGGGGATGGAGGACTTCTTAAAGTGATTATTGTCTGGCTTTATATTAAGAAAATGTGTCTAATTCTAAAAAGTCTACAATTCCTGGAGGTTTCTCAGCCTAGGGAAGTCACATTAATTATAAGATTAATTTATTTTAATTCCCTAAACCAAAAATATTGACTGAATGAGAAATTAACACGTGTAGAGCTGCAGATGTCATTTGGCTTCAGATTTCCTGAATGATATAATTATTAATCTTTCATATACTAGTATGAGAGACCTACAGATTCCATTCTACAAAATTACTCTGTGAAGAAAGACACTAGGACAGCTGAGATATAGATTTTTCCCTTAATACAGGAAGGAAAATGGTGGAATTTTCTAAATAATAAATAAAACCAAAATATTTTAAAGGCATATGGTGCACATCTGTTGAAATACAATAATTTAAAGCAGAGTAATTAAATGCAAGATATAATATTCACCTTAGAGTGAGGAAATTATCTCATTCCATTTTTAATATAACTTAAGGAATTTGGGAATTTTAAATCATTTGTGAAACCTTTTGAACCTTTCATTCTGTGCTAGTAAAGACGATAGGTTGGAAAATTGGGGGGGTTAATTTATTTTTAGATAACCTAACTTGCATTTCATGCCATTGAGTGTCAGACCCATACAAACGTTTAATATTATCTTCAACTGAAATTATAAATAAGTACAAGTTTCTATTATTCTGCTTTAATTTACAGTTAACTCCTTAAAAATCTAAAGGTAGAAAATGCCTTGTGGTAGTTTATTCCTTTCTTTACCCAAAGCACTGAATGGATCAAAAGCTTTTAATGAGTATAGCATGAATTCCTAAAATTCCAGTTTGAGAAATCCTGTAGGTTTAGGAGAAGTTTTTGTTTAACCTGTTTCTCCTGAAAAAAAAAAAAAAAAAAAAAAAAAAAAAAAAAAAAAAAAGAATTGTAATGAAAGTTATATGCATATTTTTCGACAGAGAAAAAAAAAAACAACCTTTTTTTTCCTACCCATTTCTTAAATTGATTTTGTCTTCAGGTAGGTGCTCAGTCTGTCTCACTTTCAAAGCTGATAATTTGAAGAGTAAATGCATTGTTTGAGGACAGGAAAGAGATAGGGAAGAATCTGATGAAACTGAGTTTTGATCCCAAGTGCTGTGTTGAGGAAAATGTTCGACCATGCAGGAGAAGCAAAGAGGGAAATTATTTGAATAAATTCAGTCCCCAAAAGTACAATTTTAGAGGAATAGTGTTTTGGTAAATAAAAAACATCCCATAATTTCACAACTAAATGTAGACAATGCTGAGATAAATTCTGTTTGTTTTAAGGGAACATGACAAAGATCCTGAAACTTTCTTTAAAGTCCTGATGAAGCTGAAACAGCAAGATCTGCCTTTCCATGTGTCCGTCCTCGGAGAGACTTTCAGTGAAATTCCAGGTACCTTTCCTTTTTCCTTTACTTTAAAGTTACCATAGAGTAGGTACTTTCAGAAGTAGTTTTCATTTTTGTATTTTTTATCTTAAAGAATGTGCTTAAAATTTTCCTAGTTGTGAAACTAAATAATATTGATACATTGTAAAATTTAAATTATTAAAGACAGTAAGCATTTTTTTATTTTACTTGGCAGGGCAAGACCTTATTTATGACTTGTGGTTCAGTAACACTTCTTTATTTATTTAAACAGAGAGATAGGTGTGGATGGTTGGATGGTTCAGATAGGAAGCAAAATCTTTCAGGTCAGGGTCACTCACATGAAATCCAGACTGAGATTTTAGCAGGTGAAAACACTTAGTTCCCTCTCAAATGTGAGGTTGAGGACTGCTGTGGAGAGCTTCTGGTTTGTATCTGGCATGAAAGTGATCATTAATCTTTAATATTTTTATACCACTCTTTTGGACAGTCCTTCCGTTTCTTGGCTTCTGCAGAACCACAATTCAGTGAACAGTTTCACCTGTCTGGAAAATAAATTGATTTTATTCAGGCACACAGTTTTGTGCCTGAGATATTATCTCAATGAAGAGAATAATCAAATCCTGTACTGGGTGCACTTGCAATAAATTAAACCTTTTAAAAATGTACAGTAATGACAAGCGAGTGTCAAAATATCTGATGTTTTAGCTTGTATGTGTTTTCCAAAGTGTAGACTTGCATCCCTCAGCCTCATCAGTCTGTAAAAATAGACTGGGGATTAGTTTATTTGTCAGTTCTGTCATATCTGTTGCCTGCTGGACTGGTGATATTTCAATTGGTTTGGTTTTGATTTTGCCGTTTTTAAGACACCAAGAGGTTGCTCTGATCCAAATAACTTTTGGGTCCCCAACTGAGACACAGCTGCGTTGGAAAAAGAGGCAATAATTCAGTAGCAGGAAATTCTTCGTGTTTTCTGTCCACTTCCTTTTCAGACAGTTTTCTGAAAGCCTGTTCTTCCAGGCAAGCCTTATCACAGATCCCAAGGCAACGTTGCTTTCCAGACTGAGCACACCAGATTTCTTAGAAGGAGAAATTTCTAAGGAATATGTGACAGATAGGAATATACGATGGTGCGCTGCGGGAACAGATTCTATTGACACTCATTTTGGATGTTGTTACATATCTCATTTGTGGCTTCAGTACTTATGAATAATGTAGATCATCCTAAATTTATGCCAGTATATCAAATCTATATGCCGCACCTCTTGTCTTGTCAATTCATTCATCCTCGTGTATAAATAGAGTCTATAGAAGGGGCAGTGTGGTGAAATGTGTCTCATCTCCATGGATCTGATAGGGCCATACTCATACAAATGACATATGCAGGTCATTGCTAACAAGCACCAATAAAACCTGTTGCACATACTTTATTGAAAATCTAGTTAAGAGGGTTTTTGCAAGTTCTTTTTGGTTTTTTTTTTTTTAAATAAATTGTTGGCACTGCGTTTCCGCTCCCTCCAATTATGGGACCAAATTCCCTCGTTATTATAAATGCATGTTTACAGTCGTTGGTGACAGAAAAAGTGGATAACATGTTTCATAATTCGGCAACCATTCATGTCGTTGAAACACCCATTTTTCAGTAGCTTGCTGCTTCGAAGCACGCAGCAAATATCCAGCAGGAAGTTAGGAAATCTGTACTTTTCAGTGCTGCTGAAGCTTGGCTTTAGACTCTAACGGAGTGAAGAGTTACAACTTAAGGATTTAGACAAACATGCTCTGGAGGGGCAGATTTTCCCCAGGGGAAGAGAGTGAAGAGCTCCATGACTGGCTCTGGTTTGGGATTTGTCAGCAGCGAGGGGGGAAGGCTGGCAGTGTCCCAGTGGTAACCAGAAGTTGCTCCTTATGAGTGGAGTTGTGTCTATCTCATCTTTGATCATCACTCACATTGTGTGAGCACCGTTTCAGTTGGAGATTTCAGGCCATTCCCTTTCGTTGGTGCTCCCCTGTCCTGGGGTTTGAGCTGCACTTCCCATGTGTGTTTATGGGCCATCAAATTTTGGCTAGATAGTGATGGTAGGGAGTGTGTGGGAGAGGCCATCACAGACATCTGAGCCCAGTACCAAGAGCCAGCATCTCCATCCTTACCCTAATGCTGCCCCAAAAAAACCTGCTGTCCTCCAGCCCTCCCAGCCATCCTCATTCCCCCTCCACCTCCACCTTGGAGCTCTGGAACACTCAGACATTCCTCAGAACCTTGACTGTACTCCCTCCAGCTTTTTCACCACCCCTCCATCCAGTCTGCTTGTTTCCACCCTGCTTGCCAGCACATCTTCAGTCTTTCCTGTTCTCTCCATCTGGTTCCTTTCTGTGTTGCTTCTTCCTTTCCCAGCCCAGTGCTCCAGTCCTTTCTTCCA